TTCCTCATAGCACTCATCACCACCTCCACACTGTGCCGTTTGCCCGTTCCCCCAGTGCCACCAAACCGCTCCGAGGGAGAAGGGCCTGCTGCTCCCCCAGTGCCTGGAGCAGCGCCTGTGCAGAGCAGAGAGGCACTGGGTGCATGTGGGGGGGGGGAGGGGGAGGATGAATGAATTCTCCCACGTGCTTTCCGAATGGGCACCCGAATAAATGAGGTAGGTTCCTAACTTAAACGCTGACTTTCCTCGCAAGGCTTGGAATCTCTCCAAGCCTGCATTTTCCGGTGTGACTCTGAAGGGTAGCAAGCCTGGGACAAGCTCTGTGCGGGGAGGAACAGTGTTCCTGCTGACCCCAGAGAGGCGCTCAGAAGGGGCGCAGCGCTCAGTAAATGCTGTGTCCTTCACACAGGAGCAAACCAGAGATGCTTTAGCCGCCTACCTGGAGAGCCGACATCTAGGGAAGGGGGAAATGGATGGATTCCCGTCACCAGGAAGGTCCCAGGCACAAACTAAACCTCTGTAGTAGTTAAAGGCTTTAGAAGAAACTGAATCTGGCTGTTACAACTCTGGACAGTGGGGCAGCCTGCCCTCTGATGGCCACCCAGTGTAGTGCCATTGCAGAAAAAACGTAGGTAACAATTTAGGGGGGGGAAATTCTTTCCTTATACAAGTTGCCTGACTCCATTGTAGACGACTGGGAAGACATAAAATAATAAAAAAGGAATCACCTCACCTATATACCCTTGACACTACTTGAGCTTCCAGCCTCATGCCTATTTTATACTCAATTCAATCACGTCTCTACAGAGAACCAGGGCTACCACGAAAGGGGAGGAGCGGCTTTTAATGTCGCCTCTGCCTAAGGAACGCAGAACCCCGCCCTCAGCCTCCAGGTCCTCCGTGTCTTCCTGGGCCTGGAGTCAAACTCCACCGGAGCCAGGGGCCGCGCAGAGCAGAACCCACACCTGGGAATCTCAGTGGATGTTCACATTTCCCAAGGACTGCGGGGGACGCCTGGGGAAAGCGTGGGGGGGCAGGGGGGGTCCTAAGGGGGCCCGACCAAAGGCAGCGCCCCTTCCTCGGGGGAGACCGAGCCCCGAGATGGCCCTCGGGAAGGGAGCTGCTGATTCCTATTGCACCTTTCAGCAATGCTTCTTAGCCTCTGGGGAAACACATTTCCAATAACGGTCCATACATGGAGGTGGTTTCTCAGTTCTCACCCGGACACTGAGCTCAAACGTCAAGTGAGGTTTATTGCAGATGCTTTTCTCAGACCCAGGACAGCCCTGAGCGCCTCCCGTGGTCCTCACCCTGATGCCTGCTGGCAGGTGGCTTCCTCCAGAGCAACCTTCCTGTGTCCTCTTGGCCAGTCCAGGGTCAGGGTGTGTGCTCCTTGGCTGCCGAAACCTTGTGAAGGTTCACAGAAGCGTTAGGTGTGGAAGTGGGGTGAGGGGCTTACAGAGCAGAAAGCTCCTGGGCTAAGCTGAGCTGATCCACCTGAAGGGCAGTCCTCCCGACCCAGCTGAGCAGGGCTCCCACCTGAACCTCCTGAGAGGCCAACCCACTGCCACAGCCGTTACCTCCCAGACACGGCCAGTGAGTGAAAACGGGGATCAGAGACGGCCCCGAGATGTTGTCCTGGGCCTCCCCTCACTCTACCTGGATTCAGAACCAGGCAGAGATTTGGGGCCACAGCCAGTCCTACTGTGTGTGATATTATTTGTGGATCCCCGCCCGCCCCCCCATGGCCCTGCACCAAGTTTAACGAGTGCCTTATGATGAGAAATCTGCTCTCTATAAACACCTATATTTCTATACATTTTACACTTTAGGGCTTTTACTTTACTCGGTAAAGTTTACTACTTTAATTTAGTATATGGTCCTTCTGAAAACTTTCTATCCTGGCTGAATTATGAGGAACAAAACGCCGGGCCTCGCCTGGGTGTGACAAGTGGGAGATGGCAGAGATGGTAGAGGTGGTGGAGAGAGAGGGCACTCAGGAGGGAGCTGGGAAAACCCTCCAGTCCACCCACCAAAGGGCACCCCCAGGTGTAGCTCCCAGCGCAGCTCCATTCCCTCTGGATCAGGGACGCCTGCCTCAGCCTCTCCTGTTCTCTCCCTGGCCTTCCATTGGCTGAGGGTTCCGGGGAGTCCGCTGCCTCCTCTCTCCCTGAAATCCTGCCGCAGGGAGAATCGCCCAGCTGCTGCCTGGTGTCATGGCCCCGGGACTTCCCCAGCTCTCACCGCATCCTGGTCTTCCCTCCGCTCTGCCTTCAGGCTGAGGCTCAAGGAGGGCCTTTCAGCCTTGGCCTCCTCGTGATCTGGACGCTTTCCCTGCTGAGAATGTAGCGGTCCTTTTTCCAGAGAGCATAACCCTTCGATTCTGTAGGGAGGAGCCAGAAAGGAAAGGGTCCCCTCCATGATCAGCTCAAGTGTAGCATTTAATTTTTTATTTCAATTTGCAGATGCGTTCTATATGAATTTGCATACTTTTATGAAAAAGAAATCCAAATAAGTAGCATCGCCTTGCTCCAGTCTTATTTTCACCTGAAATCTCTCTGCTGTTTCACCAGCTGAGCCAGAGTCCTTCAGGGGAAGTGACCTCTCACAGGGCCGACCCTGGGCCTTCCCTGGGCAGGTTTAACTCTTCCAAGGACAAACACCTTCTCTACCTGGATCCATGTCTGGGATGCCTCCCTTATTTGTGGAAGAGAATCTAAACCTCCTCTTCCGGGGGGAGTTCATAGACTTACACTTCTAGGCTAAAATATAAGCCCTGCACGCTTTAACAATGCCATTTTTTCCTTCCTGTCTGGGGCTCACTCTGCTAGAAGAGGTATTTGAGGACAAAATCCCTCCTCCTTTTATAGCATACTCGAGGCCCAGTGCACAAAATTCATGCATGGACGGGGGGAGGAAGGGGGAGTCCCTCAGCCCAGCCTGCACTCTCTCCAATCCAGGACCCCTTGGGGGATGTCTGACTGCTGGTTTAGGCCTGATTAGGTCTCAATCTGGGACCACTGGCTCCTAACTACTCGCCTACCTAATCGCCCCAAACCACCTCTGCCTGCCGGCCTGATTGCCCCCTAACTGCCTCTGCCTGCTGGCCTGATTGCCCCCTAACTGCTCCCCTGCCAGCCTTATCGCCCCTAACTGCTCTTCCCTGATGGCCTGATCGCCCTTAATCACCTCTGCCTCGGCCCCCGCCACCATGGCTTTGTCCAGAAGGATGTCCAGAAGATGTCCGGTCTAATTAGCATATTACCCTTTTATTAGTATAAATATAGAAATGAAATAGGATGAAGGTGTTCATTACCCTAAAACCTGGCCCAAATAGGTCTGTATAAGACCATGGCAGTTAGGGATAGGGGAGGAACTTACTCTTTTGGACCCTAATATACAAGAGTGATTCTGAGTCATTCTGTCTCTGAAGGCTGCAGCTACGCGTGAGTGGGGCATAGTTCAATACTTCCTATTACCCCTCAATGTCAGTTCCCATCCACAGGCAGCAAACCTCATGGCTGCCCCACCCCCAACAGTCACCTGCTTCTACTTTAAATCACTAAGTCCCTCCCGAGGCAATTTTGGCCTCTCTGCTGGACATGCCAGCATCAAGCATCTCTGAGAGCCCTCGGCTCCTGCCACACTCATTTATTCATCGAGCTCTGAGCCTCCTCGGGAAAGGGAAAGGGAACCTGCTACAGCTTCCCTCCAGGCTTTTCAGGAATAGAAAATCGTAGGCCAGCCTCCTAAACAGCTGCATATGAGCTCACTTCCCTCCTGCCTTGCTAGGGTCTCTTTTTTCTTGAACAGCTTCACTGACGTGTAATTTATACCCCATTTGAATTGTACACACCAATGGTGTTTAGTGTATTTGCAGAGCTATTTTAGAACATTTCCATCAGTCCTTTACAATCACTCTCCATTCCCAGCCCCAGCCCTGGGCAACCAATAATCTATTTCCTGTCTCTAAAGATTTACCTCGTCCAACATATGTCATATTAAGAGACTCAAACAATAGGTAGTCTTTTGTGATTGCCTCCCTTCACTGAGTATAATGGTTTTGAAGTTCATCCATGCTTTATTAGAAGTCCTTTTCCTTTTAATTGCCAAGTAACATTCCCTGTATAAATGCACCACATTTTGTCCATTTGCCAGTGAATGAGCAACACTTGGGCTGTTTGCAGTTTGGAGATATCGTGGCGAGAACACGCACTCAGGACAAGTCTTTATGTGAATAATGTTTCCATTTCTCCTGGGTAGAAACCTAGGAGGTGAACTGCTGGGTCGCATGATAATTTCATGTTTCACCTTTTGAGAAATTGCCAAACTGTTTTCCAAAGTGACTGCATTATGTTACATTCCCTCCAGCAATGTCTGGGGATCCCATAACTTAATCAGATAGTTAACAGGTTCTGTAACCACGTAGAGAAACCTCTTTCTTTTAACTCCATAACCAGTTTCCGGAGCTGACTCCCCAGGTTACGCGCACAGTAGTACATACCACGTCTCTGCTGATAACACCTCCTCACTCTGGGTACCCAACAGTAACAGCTACTACCCCTCAAAACTAGTCCAAAGTTACACTTTACTCTTCCGATTCAATTCAAGTCACTTTTAACTTACACGAGTCGTTAACCATTTTTTTGTGTCTGTGCTTGTCATTTCTGAATGTGTTAGCTATCTGTTCCTTAAAACCAGGACAAGCTGCAGAAAGCTGCCACCGCACCCAGGCACGGGGTGGGAGGTGCCTGGGGTCGTGCCACAGGAGCCTGGCACCTGGGCACTGGCTCCAGCAGCGCGGAAGGATGGCAAAGGGTGGAAACACAGCCAAGCATCTTAAGTAAAGGAAGGGCCGAGCTATGGAAGAACGGGCTTACTTGCAAAGAACTGCTTTTTCTCCTTCCTGGGGTCCCGGAAGATGAGGCGCTTTGGTCACGTGTTTCAAATCAAAACTACTAGCGTTGAAATTACTCTTCACCTTTAACCTTTAACAAGACAACATGTGTGAGGATGTTTGCAAAAATAATACCGGTTATACGCTTTCAGAAATTACTGTTAACCTTTGACGCTGTGTATATGTGCTCCATGTACTGTAAAGGGAAATAAAACTTATCTTCTGGGAGAATTATCATGAGGAGTAAATGGATGAGTCCACACAAAGCTCTTGTAATAGCGCCTCAGGCAGCATTACCATTCAGTAAATGCTCATTATTATTTCAGACACATCGTGATACTGGCTCACACGTCAGGGGCTCCATTTCTCCTGTGAACTTGGGGTAAG